GTTCTTGCAACTAGCCCCAAAGTACCCGTATGTCTGAGCCACAAGCTCATCGAAGCAGGTTTCCAGCCCTGGGGCAAAGCAAAGTCCACAGCGTCTTATGTTGAAGCCAGAAAAGGTAACCATGCTGGTATTTCAGGCAAAAAAATATTTTCAGCTGCTTATTTTCTAAGTTGTTAATATTATGTGTTTTTGTTGTTATTGTTTTAGTAATAGTGTTTGTGATTCCATTTTGAATGGTGAAGTTCCAAACAAACAGCTTGGTAATTCCACTTCAGGCTTATGTCATCATTTTTAAATCAGTCCCTGTAAAACCGTACACCTAAGTAAAATGGGGAGGAAGTTGGACGGTATTAAAATCTGGATACCACCCAAACCTATAGATCCAGCTGAGGAACCGTAGGGGAACCAGTGGAGAAGGAACTCGTATGCAGATGACCTCCTGTTGTTCTTCTCAGCTCCTTTCAGAATTTCACTTAAGAAAAAAAACAACAACTCACCTTTTCACTCATCTCATCGTTATCTCCATCTTCCTCCCTTGATGCGTCTCCTCCCGTGTGCTTTGCCTTGAAGGGACGTTTGCCCTTCAGCTTATCAAGGTTGTCGTCATAGCAACAGGGAGAGAAAGGCGAGTCCTTGTGACTGTCCTTTAGCTTTTGGTTATTCACCTGGAGGGGCGAGGAGGTGAGAGAGGAGAAAGAGGTGGGGTCTGATATCTGGGGAGCAGAGTTGTTTGGATGCTGAGGTAGATGTCTGAAAGTAGAGGGTGGAGCCATTTTGAAATCTACGAAAAAAACCACAGAAAAACAAATTCATTGCTACCAGTTGAAAATATAATATGCTTCAGTCAGCAAATCTCCACACCAGACATCCAGGTCATCTGGTGTGAACGTTTTTGTCATGGATTTTATCAATATGTTTAACAATAACCCCATTTCCTGTAGTGAAGAGAGAAGGAGACAATGAACAGACAAGTCAAACAGTTATAACTGTGGCACATGCACGAGGCAAAATGCCCCGAACATCTGATCACAGAGTTTATTTAAACAACAAGATAAAGATGGGAGTGAGGTCATCGTGAGAGGATGTGTGTGTGTGTGTTTGTGTGTGTGTGTGTGTGTGTGTGTGTGTGTATGGGAAGAACAGTGTGTGTGTATGGGAAGAACAGTGTGTGGGTGTGTCTGAGTGTGAGAATGCTTCAGGAAATTTGAGAATAGGATTAAAGCAATGAAATATAAAATTTCCACAACAGTTTTCATTTCATCATCAGTCATGGATATCCAGATAATTATTACAAACTGCTTTCAAATCACACATCATCATCATCATGAGAGATTTTCTGAATTCAACTGACAGCTGGATGATATCAGCTGCTTACAGAGTTCAAGTTTCATATCATTTTATAATTTATGTTCCTGATCTCTGGATCTAACTGAGATGTGACTGCTGGTCACAAACATCTCCTAATGTCAACAAGAATTCTCACAGACCTCTCAGAGGCTCAGGGCCTTAGTCTGGAACCAATCACCAGTCTGGAAATAATCACCAGTCGAACCAGTCACCAGTCTTGAACCGATCACCAGTCTGGAACCAATCACCAGTCTGGAACCTGGAACCAATAACCAGTCTGGAACCTATCACCAATCTGGAACCAATCACCAGTCTAGAACCAGTCACCAGTCTGGAACCAATCACCAATCTGGAACCAATCACCAATCTGGAACCAATCACCAGTCTGGAAATAATCACTAGTTGAACCAATCACCAATCTGGAACCAGTCACCATTTTGGAACCAATCACCAGTCTGGAACCAATCACCAATCTGGAACCAGTCACCATTTTGGAACCAATAACCAGTCTGGAACCAATCACCAGTCTGGAAATAATCACCAGTCGAACCAGTCACCAGTCTTGAACCAATCACTAATCTGGAACCGATCACCAGTCTGGAACCAATCACCAGTCTGGAACCTGGAACCAATAGCCAGTCTGGAACCTATCACCAACCTGGAACCAGTCACTAGTCTGGAACAAATCACCAGTCTAGAACCAGTCACCAGTCTGGAACCAATCACCAATCTGGAAACCAATCACCAATCTGGAACCAATCACCAGTCTGGAAATAATCACCAGTTGAACCAATTACTAATCTGGAACCAGTCACCATTTTGGAACCAATTACCAGTCTGGAACTAGTCACCAGTCTGGAACCAATCACCAGTCTGGAACCAATCACCAGTCTGGAAATAATCACCAGTCGAACCAGTCACCAGTCTTGAACCAATCACTAATCTGGAACCGATCACCAGTCTGGAACCAATTACCAGTCTTGAACCAGTCACCAGTCTGGAACCAATCACCAGTCTGGAAATAATCACCAGTCAAACCAGTCACCAGTCTTGAACCAATCACTAATCTGGAACCGATCACCAGTCTGGAGCCAATCACCAGTCTGGAACCTGGAACCAATAACCAGTCTGGAACCTATCACCAACCTGGAACCAATCACTAGTCTGGAATCACCAGTCTAGAACCAGTCACCAGTCTGGAACCAATCACCAATCTGGAAACCAATCACCAATCTGGAACCAATCACCAGTCTGGAAATAATCACCAGTTGAACCAATTACCAATCTGGAACCAGTCACCATTTTGGAACCAATTACCAGTCTGGAACTAGTCACCAGTCTGGAACCAATCACCAGTCTGGAACCAATCACCAGTCTGGAAATAATCACCAGTCGAACCAGTCACCAGTCTTGAACCAATCACCAATCTGGAAACCAATCACCAATCTGGAACCAATCACCAGTCTGGAAATAATCACCAGTCGAACCAGTCACCAGTCTTGAACCAATCACCAATCTGGAAACCAATCACTAATCTGGAACCGATCACCAGTCTGGAACCAATCACCAATCTGGAAACCAATCACCAATCTGGAACCAATCACCAGTCTGGAAATAATCACCAGTTGAACCAATCACCAATCTCGAACCAGTCACCATTTTGGAACCAATCACCAGTCTGGAACCAATCACCAATCTGGAACCAGTCACCATTTTGGAACCAATAACCAGTCTGGAACCAATTACCAGTCTGGAACCAATTACCAGTCTGGAACCAATCACTAGTCTGGAACCAATCACTAGTCTGGCACCATTGTCAATTTAGCTTCTACAGGTCACAAAGTAAAGAACTCTGAGACAAGATTGTGAGAAGTTTGTGAGCAAACTGAGAAAAAACTTACTAAAGTTTGATAAGAAAATTGGAGCAACCGTTTGTTTGGAGCTAGGCCCCACACCCTCATCACCCAGACAGATTACTATTTATTGTGAGTCAAAACAAAAAGTTTGTAGTTTTCTGTTTATAATTTTTATATTATTCAAACTTTGATGGAAACTTAATTAAAGGCTTTTGTTTACTGTGATGCAGGTCAAATAAAACACTGAATTCAAAAATCGAATCAGTATGAGATTGTTTATGCCATTTTAAATTACTTTTAAAATTTAGGAAAATGATTATTTTAATGTCAGAGTGTATTTAAAAACAACGTTGCAACAACTGAGCCATTGCCAGCCTGACGTTAGAAAAACACGAAGAAGAACAAAGAAAGACGGTGGGGGTGGGGCAAGAGGCACACACACACACACACACACACACACACACACACACACACACACACACACACACACACACACACACACACACACACACACACACACACGCATGCACGCACGCGCGCACACACACACACCAGCTTGATTCATGTCTTTAAACTGCTGCCATTATTTTGATTTATCAGGAATCATCATCGTCATCATCAATGTCATTTGGAATTTTAATCCCCACCCCAATAACATAACTAACTGAATTGTTTGTTTACGTATACAAATGTAATTACTATGCAACTAATATCAATCGTTGTCACACTATAATGTTTAGGTTTGCCATACATGGTTCCAGTTGCTCTTCACATACTGATGGAAAACCAATAAATTAAATGTTTTGCCAAAATAAAATGATAATTTTAATCACCTTTGGAAGAAACAATCCTGGAGAAACATCATCCAATCATTGTGAACATCTCGTTCTTAATGACTGCATCATGACCCATAATCAAACTGCCCTCTGACTGCCCCTCCTCCCTCTGCACACAACACTCTGTGTGCATGAATTCTGTGTTCTCAACAGCAAAACAGGAAGTAAAGCCAGAATCGGGCTGCCAAATGTCACAGACAGAATGTCTCGTTTTGTAAGCAAATTTAATTTCAGTATTTGTTTTAAATGCTCTGATAAAACTCTGGTTCTGTTCTAGTTGGGAAACGTTTAGGTGAGGGACCTGTTGTCTGTGAATGCAGCCTGTCCTGGCAGAGCTGAGTGTCTGATGCGTGTGTGTGCGCTACCATCCAGAGAAGAGAGAGGAGTCTGGTGAGATACTGGTTGAATTCTGGAAGTTTTGAGCTTTTGTTTGAGGGGTTTTCTCAACTGGTTGGTGACACTGGGGTTTTGGTAAGGGACCACCTGACTTAGATTTAATTTGAAGTCTTAAACAGCTGATTGAATGATTACAGAATGTGTTAAACTAAGAAATGTATAGATTTATTTTTAGAAATTTCGACACTTTAACCCCCATTTCAACATTTTAAATTATAATACCAGATTTAAGAAACAAGAACTAAAATCCCGAGTTATTCATCGCTAACTCAGTCCAAACTTGTTTTTTCTTATCGAATCTTCTTCCACAGAACGGTATCTAGCATTTGTATTTCTATAAACTCAGATAAAATCCAAACAATCCCATATGTTATGATCAGTTCAAACTTTATTAGATGTTCCATAACTTAAATGTTGTGTTTTATAAGAGAAAAATGGATTCACACAGAGATATAATGGTTGTGTGTGAAGATGGTGAGACAGCAAACAGTCTCTCCCATCAAAATTACATTTAAAACAACTTTAATCATGAATTACTTTGATGTTAATTTGATCCCGGAGTTCCACAGGGCTCAAATCTTGGGCCTTGTTCCAGTTTGTCAAAACAGGCCATGTTTGTAAAAATCTTTTTTAATTACAAATTAATTCACATTAATGCTATACATTTATTGAAATTAATCATTTAAACACATTTTCTGAATCACTGATAGAAATTAAGTGAGGAATAATTAAACTGCAATGAAACCAAATAAGAAAAGACCAGCTTCTAAAATCATCTTTGGGTTTGATTGCATTTATCTGGTCTGACTGAGGATAGATGAAGAAAGGGACACGTGGAAGCCCAGAGAAGCCTTCACCAAACAAAGCAGCAGGAGGAGGAGGAGGAGGAGGAGGAAGCATTCCCTCTGCATTACAAGTGTGAAAGCTCCATCTGGGACATGTTAGACGGCTATTAGCACGCCACGAGGCCTCAACGGGTCTGTAAACATACACGAGAACACACGCATCGCTTGGTGTTGTTCCAGACGTGTGTGCTGGCAGTCAAAGAGGGAGGAAGAGAGATGAGAGAGGAGAGAAGCAGGAGGGGGAGGAGTACTGATGACAGCAGAGACAGATTTCATCACAAGCAGCAGCTCAGCAGCAAAATAAAAGCATCTACGTCGTTTTACTACAGGTGGTGCTCAGAAATGGAATGAGCAGAAAAAGCTTTAATGTTTCCTCTGAGAGGAAAAGCGAGACACAATTGTCAGTGTTCAGTTATCTTCCCAGCTACCTACTATAGTGAGAAGATATCCCCAACTGAAAGGGGTGTCAGGGAGAGTATAACGGGCACAACTCAATCTAGATCACTCCTTTATTGACGTTCGACAGGACAAGATTCAACATACGCTCCGTCGTAGCGGCCCGAGGTCTCGCTACCCCTTTTTTAGCACAACAGTTGCGTCTTCGATTCACGTCTTAAATTAGCTTTAATAGCGATTATTGGAAGCGACTAGTGATTAGGTTGTAAATAGGAATGTCCCGATCAGGTTTTCTTGCCCTCGAGTCCGAGTCATTTGATTTTGAGAATCTGCCGATACCGAGTCCCGATCCGATACTTAAGGTACATAAAAAAATAAATAAAGAAAGAAAAGGAAGAAACAACTCCAGAATGTTCCTTATTTTTTATTTAATTACCTTTTTATTTTAATTTTTAACAACAGATCACTTCTGTGAGGTAGCTTGAGCAATCAAGTAATAAATAATATTAATTCTTCACTTTTGGACTTTGTTGCAAATATAAAAAGTCGTTGTCGTCTTCCTCCACTTATCCGGGTCCGGGGCGCGAGGGCAGCATCCCAACTAGGGAGCTCCAGACCGCCACCTCCACCAGTTCCTCCGGCAGGATCCCAAGGCGTTTCCGGACCAGATTGGAGATGTAACCTCTCCAACGTGTCCTGGGTCGACCTGGGGGCCTCCTGCCGGCAGGACATGACTGAAACACCTCCCCAGGGAGGCGTCCAGGAGGCAGCCTGACCAGATGCCCAAACCACCTCAACTGACTCCTTTCGATCCGGAGGAGCAGCGGTTCTACTCCGAGTCCCTCCCGAATGTCTGAGCTCCTCACCTTATCTCTAATGCTGAGTCCAGCCACCCTACGGCGGAAACTCATTTTGGCCGCTTGTAATCGCGATCTCGTTCTTTCGGTCATTACCCAAAGCTCATGACCATAGGTGAGGATTGGGACATAGATTCACCGGTAAATCGAGAGCCTGGCTTTCTGGCTCAGCTCCCTCTTCACCACGACGGATCGGCTCAGCGTCCGCATCACTGCAGGTGCCGAACCAATCCACCTGTCGATCTCCTGATCCCTCCTACCCTCACTCCTGAACAAGACCCTGAGATACTTAAACCCCTCCACTTGAGGTAGGACCTCTCTCCTGACCCGGAGTTGGCAAGCCACCCTTTCCCGGTCGAGGACCATGGCCTCAGATTTGGACTTACTGATCCTCATCCCAGCCGCTTCACACTCGGCCGCGAACCTACCCAGCAAGAGCTGAAGGTGAGAGCTGGATGAAGCTAGGAGGACCACATCGTCCGCAAAAGGCAGAGACGAGATTCTCCTGCCACCAAACTCGACACACTCCACACCACGGCTGCGCCTAGAAATTCTGTCCATAAAGGTTATGAACAGAACCGGTGACAAAGGGCAGCCCCGGCGGAGTCCAACCCTCACAGGGTCACAGGTCCGACTTACTACCAGCTATGCGGACCAAACTCACGCACCTCTGGTAAAGGGACTGAATGGCCCTTAACAAAAAGCCACCCACCCCATACTCCTGGAGCGTCCCCCACAGGGTGCCCCTGGGGACACGGTCATAAGCCTTCTCCAAATCCACAAAACACATGTGGATTGGTTGGGCAAACTCACATGCCCGCTCCATCACACTTGCAAGGGTATAGAGCTGGTTGGTCCACAGTTCCACAGCAGGACGAAAACCACATTGCTCCTCTTCAATATGAGATTCAACTATCGATTGGACCCTCCTCTCCAGTACCTTGGAGTAGACCTTTCCAGGGAGCCGGAGGAGTGTGATTCCCCCCTATATTTGGAACACACCCTCAGGTCACCCTTCTTAAAGATGGGGACCACCACCCCGGTCTGCCACTCCACAGGAACTGCCCCCAATGACCACGCAATTTTGCAGAGATGTGTCAACCATGACAGCCCTACCACATCCATAGTCTTGAGATACCCAGGACGAATCTCATCCACCCCCGGGGCTCCGCCGCTGTGTAGTTGTTTGACTACCTCAGCAACTTCTGCCCCAGAGATTGGACAGTCCATCCCCAGGTCTCCCGGCTCTGGCTCCTCCTTGGAATGCGCGTTGGTGGGATTGAGGAGCTCCTCAAAGTATTCCTTCCACCGCCCGACTATAGCCCCAGTTGACGTCAGCAGCTCCCTATCCCCACTGTAAACAGTGTGAGCGAGTTGCTGCCTCCCTCTCCTGAGGCGCTGGACAGTTTGCCAGAACCTCTTTGGCGCCAATCGATAGTCTTTCTCCATGGCCTCACCAAACTCCTCCCACACCCAAGATTTTGCCTCGGCAACTGCCACTGTTGCACCCCGCTTGGCTATCCGGTACCTGTCTGCTGCCTCCAGAGACCCACAGACCAGCCACGCCCTGTAGGCTGGCTTCTTCAGCCTGACGGCTCCCCGAACCTCTGGTGTCCACCAGCGGGTACGGGGGTTGCCACCACAACTGGCACCGGCCACCTTGCGACCACAGCTAGCAACAGCCGCCTCAACAATCGTAGACTGGAACAAGGCCCACTCGGAGTCGATGTCCCCCATTGCTCTCAGGACACGGCCAAAGCGCTGCCGGAGGTAGGAGTTGAAGACCGTCTTGACAGGTTCTTCTGCCAAGTGTTCCCAGCAGACCCTCACTATGCGTTTGGGTCTGCCAGGTCTACACGGCATCTTCCCCTGCCATCTGATCCAACTCACCACCAGGTGGTGATCAGTTGACAGCTCCGCTCCTCTCTTCACTCGGGTGTCCAAAACATACGGCCGCAGGTCAGATGATACGACTACAAAGTCTATCATCGACCTGCAACCTAGGCTGCCCTGGTACCAAGTGTACCGATGGGCATCCTTAAGTTCGAACATGGTGTTCGTTATGACCAAACTGTGGCTCGCACAGAAGTCCAATAAGGAAACACCACTCAAGTTCAGATCAGGTGGGCCGTTCCTTGCAATCACACCCCTCCAGGTCATGCTGTCATTGCCCACGTGAGCATTGAAGTCCCCCAGCAGGACAATGGAGTCCCCTGATGGGGCACTATCTAGCATTCGTCCCAGGGACTCCAAAAAGGGTGGGTAATCTGAACTGATTTTTTTTGCGCATAAGCACAAACAACTGTCAGGACCCGTTCCCTGACCCGAAGGCGCAGGGAAGCTACCCTCTTGCCCCCCGGGGTGAACACCAACAGACAGGCAGAGAGTCTTGGGGCTAACAAAAAGCCAACCCCAGCCCTCTGCCTCTCACCCAGAGCAACTCCAGCAAAGGAGAGTGTCTAACCCTTCTCAAGGACTTAGGTTCCAGAGCCAATGCTACGTGTCAAGGTGAGTCTGGCTATATCTAGCCGGTACCGCTCAACCTCTGCCACTAGCTCCTGCTCCTTCCGAGCCAGCGAGGTGACGTTCCATGTCCCAATAACTAGTTTAATTGTCCGGGGATCGGACCGCCAAGGCTCCCACCTCGGTCTGCCACTCGATCCACACTGCACCGGACCCTTCATGTTCCTCCTGCGGGTGGTGGGCCCACAGTTGAATATAAAAAGTCTAATATAAAAACAGATAGCACTTCAACTTAAAATACCTGACAGGGGTCTATTGTGCCCCGGCCCCCAAAATTCTTAGATACGTCCCTGGGCATGGGACGGAGTTTTGAAGATGATCTGAATTGTATCAACTATATAAATACTACGTGCTGATAAATTATTGCTTTATACAGGTACAAACGTGTAGTGGGATCAGTCATTTGATTTTTTAAAGAACTTTGTTTTGCTTTCTTGATTTTTATTTTACTATCTTCCTGTCATGTCTGTCTCTGATCTTCCTGCATCTCCCAGTCCTCCAGAAAAACTTCTGCATGCTTCCTTCTTTTTCACCTCACAAGTAACTTTTTTTACTAGCAGATCAAATTGATCTATTGACCGCAAAAAAAGCAGAGTGTGCGCCGCGCTGCCCGGCTGCGCCAGTGACGAGCTCTGCAGCGGGGGCAGCACGTCCACACTTCATGCTCAAATACAGACAGAACTTACCAGAGAGAAAATAAATGGACACGAATGACTGTGTTAATTATATATTTTTTGGTGATGCCACTTAGAAAATGTTACTGTGGCCATGTGCAGAACGCAGCTGGAGATCATGAATAATCTGCGGTCTGCCTGCCGCTCTCTGCATGTTCAGAAGAATCCCCGCTGCATTGAGTCCATATAATATAGGTAGAAACTGGATCTCTTTTGTGCTCCTTCTGGGTGTGTAAGTTAAGGGCATCAGGGGAACCTGACAACCTTTAAGGAGAACCAAGTTGCTCTCCTGTAATTTGAACCCAGTATCCAATCGGGAAGTAAAGCCCGAGTTCTGCTTATAAACTGGAGCTGGATGCATCTCAGATGCTGATAAACTCTGGTTTTATAAATAAATGTGTTAGGTTTTACCTCTCGGCCCATCTCTCCTCAGGAACCTGGAGTCACACCAGCTTCCGTTGACCTCCGACCTTCCCTTAAAAAGAGGAGCGTCCATTCTGAACTTCTTGTCCACCTCTGCTGACTTCTCACAGGAGGACAGCCATTTGCTGAGATCTCTAGGGAGGCGGGGCTTGTTGAGTCTGAGGCCATTTAACTCGATGCATACCTTCAGATTTTTTACGTCCTCCAGAGTCGAGTCTGAGGACAACAAGCCAATGGTCAGCACAGAGAATTAAACACATCTTCAGTGAATTACTAAAAATGAAGTCAGTCTGAAAAGGAATGAATGAAGTGAAAAATAAAATGACTCGCATCAGTTCTACGTAAGATGTGAGTCATCTGCAAATAAATTAAGTTAAATCATTAAACATATCAAAACAGCAGAGGACTCAGTACACATCCCAGATGAACTTTTACAGCCTGCATGTTTAAGTTTTACTGTTATTTTTAGATCTAGTGTTCTTTATTCATCAGTTTTAAATTTACATAAATGTTTGTTTAAAAACAGTTTAGTTTGTCTACACAGATATCTCGCCCAGAAAACAGGTTCAGCTTCTAGAAAATACCATTTTCAGGCAGTAAAGTCAGGAAATGACGTATAAAACAAAAGCAGTAGTTACTGACCCATTCCTGTTCCTTCCAGAAAGATTCAGATCTATAAAAAATATTACATATACAGTACAGGCCCAAAGTTTGGACACGCCTTCTCATTCAATGTGTTTTCTGTATTTTCATGACCCTGGCCATTTACAAAGGGGCCAACAAGTGCTAAACACTTCTGGGAACTCCTTCAAAACCATTCAGGTGACCACCTCTTGAAGCTCATCAAGAGAATGGCAAGAGCAAAACAAAGCAGTAATCAGAGCAAAGGGTGGCTATTTTGAAGAAACTAGAATATAAAACGTGTTTTCACTATTTCACCTTTTTTGGTTAAGTTAAAACTCCACATGTGTTCATTCATAGTTTTGATGCCGTCAGTGAGAATCTCCATATGTAAATGGTCATGAAAATAAAGACAACACATTGAATGAGGTGTGTCCAAGCTTTTGGCCTGTACTATACATACAGTAAATATGTATATATATATATATATATATATATATATATATATATATACGAAGATTAAAGAAGTTGAAGAGTAAAGTAAAGCTATGTATGTATATATATATATATATATATATATATATATTGAATGAGGTGTGTCCAAGCTTTTGGCCTGTACTATACATACAGTAAATATATATATATATATATATATATATATATATATATATATATATATATATATATATATATACGAAGATTAAAGAAGTTGAAGAGTAAAGTAAAGCTATGTATGTATATATATATATATATATATATATATATATATATATACATACATATATATATATATATATATATATGTATGTATATATATATATATATATATACATACATATATATATATATATATATATATACATATATATATATATATATATATATATATATATATATGTATACATACACACTAGCTCAGTGGCGTAACGGTAGTGTCGGTCCTGGTATTGGGAGAACGGGGTTCAAATCCTGTTGGGGTCATACCAAAGACTTTAACAATGGGATCCAACGCCTCCCTGCTTGACACTCACCATTAAGGGGTTGGAATGGGGGGGTTAAACCACTAAATAGTTCCCGGGCACAGCCACTGCTGCTCCCCTCTATGGGAATGGATCAAATATGAAAATGTATTTTCACCAGTGTGTGATGACTACGGGACTTTAAATCTCAGTGAACAAAATCTCTTTAAAAGAGATCTTACCATTAGTGAGTTTGATTTTTTTGTTGAGCTTTTCTGTCCCATCTTGGTCCTCTCTCTCGTCTTCTCTGTCCTCGTCCCTTCCTCTCTTCTGTCGACTGCTGATGATGCTGCTCTGGTGAAACGGCTCCAGGCTGAAGATTCGACGCCGGTTCATCCCAGTGCTTGAATTTGGCAGCAGACTGGAGGAGTTTCCCTGAAACCGACCTTTAGATGTTGGAATAAATTTTGGTTGATTTGATTGTAAGACAAAACTCGTGTTCATGTTTTTCTTCTCCTCCTGAGGACTTCCTCCTCCTTCTTCCTCCTCTTCTTCTCCATTTTTCTCTGAGTTCTGGTTTTCCTCTTTGAGGACCGGAAGGTTATTTGGAAGGTGACTGGCTGGAGGTTGTCTTTGTGGGGAGGATAGCTGTAACCCTGCTGGGACAACAACAACGTTTAACCCTAAAACACAAACAGCCAACAACTCTGTTTGCTTAAGCCCCGCCTCCAGGTTTTAAGAAAACATAGACATTTAGATCCAGAGAA